ACTAAGTATCAGCCATGTTTAGTGGAGTGCATAGCGATATAAGAAAGACAGTCATGAAAGTAATGAAAACTGGCCTCAGAAGAAGCTACGCTACAACATTAACTACGCTATGAATCAAATCACGCGCAGCGTCGTTTGTACATACCGAAGCACGCAGTCCTCTGTACACAGCCCAGATTTACGTTTGAGAAACGAGACCAAACTCTTTGCTAAATAAAGCACAGGCATGCCTGTGCTTGTTGTTGTTTGAGGAGGACACGTGACAAAGCAAAAGCATGATGGGAACTGTAGTATTTGACGCGATTGTTTCAACACAAGTTTCCGAGCTGTATTATACTTATTTGCTTACATTGCGTAGCCTTGTGTTACTTCCAAGGAAAATGAGAAAATAAATTATTTAGTTCTTTTCAAATGGTTAACTTGTTTAACTAAGCTAGCAAACACCATGTGCCTTATTTCCCGCAGATGGAAATTAGTCCGATTAACGCTAAACTAATATTCAATTGAGTTTTAAACCAGCGTTAGATAACATAGCATAGGCTATGCCTTGTTTCATGTGACGAAAAGTTGAATATCTCTCAGTTCCATTTTGACGCAGGAGAAAAAATACCTAGCATCTAAAAATATAATGTTAGCCGACGCTGATGTGACGCAATGACGACATGTGTACAATGCAACACAACCCAAAGACAATAATGAATATACTGTCACATGAAAAACAATTGAAAAGTTACTTACATTAAACTTCACGTTCCACTTCGTGTTCGTTCGAGTCTGCTGGGAGCATGGATCGGCTGGGAGAGCGACAGCCGTGTGATCGCGCGTTCGTCTTGGTCACACTGCGCATGTGCTAATTCAAACAGGAGCTTTAATTTTTTGAATACATTTCACTCGCGTTTTCACATTGATAGAACATGGACTAATTCTATAATTGAAGTAACTGTTACAGTGTCTATATAATACCCCTTTTTTAAATGATTAAATCACGTTTTGGTGCACAATTTTAATTAGCAAAAGTAAGTAAACACAGTTTCTTATATAAACAATGTAGGAATTATATAGTTTTATATGATAACATTTAGTACACCTAAAATTTATTTTTATCAGTGTATGCAGTAGTTTTAATGTCTGCGGGTTATTCCAGAGACTGGCCTGCTACAAGGAGTTGCTCCTTTTAACCAGATTGTCATTGTGTGCGGGGCAGAAACTCGCCAATGTAACCCTGCTCACAAGTGCCACCTGGTGGTTGTTTTGGTCATTGCAACGTCACTGGGAGGGGGGAAAATAAAAGACGCGTGAATCACACAAGACTCACGTGTGATTCACGCGTGAAAGGCGACAAAACGGAATGGGACCTACTGTAGGATTAACCACTGGATCACCGATTCGAGTTGAAATTACTACTCTGAAGAACGACCGAAAGCAGCAAATTTTGCATCACACGTAAACTTTTATCAGTCGTCTCAATTGTTGAAAGGCGTCCCGATATAAATCCTCGTTTTAGTCTTTGTTTTGTCATTCATGATTTGAGAGTCATAACAAGACCTTTTTTAGTTCTGCGGCCACATGTTGTTTTACCTCTGAGATTAGTGAGCCGCACGGAGTTCGGGCAACCCGATCACGGACTTACATGACACTTCCTGATTGGCGAAACGGCGGAGGGTAGGACATCAAAATCAAAACAATGACAACTTTTTATAGTAAAACTAATTTTGATATTCAAATATCTCTGAACTGCTGTTATCAGTTAAAGATGTATTCGAAAAATATTTTGAAATATGGGGGCCATTTAACTCATTGACTGCCAGCCTATTTCAGAACAGGTACTCCCATATTGCCAGCTGTTTCTGATGATTTTTACTGATTTTTCAAGACCCACAGAATATCGTGCACTATGACTATCTGAAAGAATGGACTGTCTACTTTCATCAGCAAAAAGAAATTTGTTTCAAGCTTGTTTCGTTCCCCTGTAATCCCCAGTCGAGTAGAGGGAAGTTTTGCTGAAATCACCAGTCTCAGACAAAAAGCTGAGAAAAAGAGACTTATGTGAAAATGACCAAACCATGCAGAAAAGTGAATTTGACAAAAATATCTTTTACTTTTGTCATTTTTTCCACTTGTGAACATTGTTCCCATCAATAAAACAAAAACAAAACATAAAAAGTGCTTTTGATTGCAAAATACAGTATAATACAAGTTCACAAAAAAAGACAACCAATTAGAAAATACATACAGTAAACGCTATATACAAAGCTGTGTGTGTGTGTGTTTAGACAGTGTAGTTGTGTTAGGCGGTAAAGCACTCTGCTGGATGTAAAGGGACACGACAGGACTTGCACCACAGCCTGGTCTCACTGCGCAGACCCTAAACCTCCTTGAGGGCCTAGCCTTACTGCTGGAGGGAAGGTACTCCAGTTTGTGCCTCGCCATCCTTCCATCACGCCTGCTCTCAGGATATGTTTTGTAGGGAGCCCTTGGGTTACGTGGAGCCTCTCTCTCCACACCTACTTCCTCCACCTCCATATCCTCCTCCTCCGCCACATCCTGCACCTCCTCCTCCTCCTCCTCTACATGAGGTTTAGTGGTCCAGGACTTTACCACCTGCCGCATGAACTCTAAAAGCGTCTTGCATTCTCTGTTCCTGGCTCTGTATAAAACAAATTAATTGTACATAGAGATTTCGAACAAATAAGCAACAAACTTTTTTTGACCAGTTTAGCGACTTCCTGATGAAGGGGTAGTAGGCTATGTTTTGGTCTAACCCATCTATCCCATTCATGGATGTGTGTTGTGGCCTACATCACACTCTGGCTTCAACTGGGTCACCTTTTCCCTGTTTCCCCTCTGCCACACTTCAACACTCTGCATGTTGTCCTGGTGACAGGTCGTCACCATCCTGATCAGCCTTTTGTCCTGCCAGGCTACCACCAGAACCTTCTTGTTGTGGTACACAAGCCTCCCTCCCACACCTAGGTCAGACTTGGTGACATTCCTGATCACCTGAGGCTCTCCCTGGTTCCTCCTCAGTGTCCCACACATATTGGTTTTTGCCTCCTGTAGCTGCTCACAAAGTGCAATGGAATTATAAAAATTATCCATAAACAATGTATGTCCAGCACCTGGGAGACGATCAAGGAGGGAAAAAACTATTTCGTGCAGGGTAAGTGGTTCCCCAATATATGGCTGAAAGTTAAAGCAGTACCCAGAGGCCGAGTCGCACAGGACATAAGATTTAATGGTTTGGCTTTTTTATGTACCCAGTCAAAAAGCTCAATCCAAAGAATCTTTGCAACTCTGGGATGGACACTGGTTTCCACACAAGCCCTATGCTGTGTGGCAGAATCTCTGGGTGTGCCTGAAAATATTGCTCGGCATACAGGTTTGTCTGCTCAACTATATGACGGAGCAGCTCATCTGTAATGAACAGCTCCAGGAAGTCAGCCGGCACGGCAGAATCCAGCTCTGCAGCAGCGTTCCGGGGTCCAGGCGTTGCGGTGAAGGGGAAAACCTTTGGTCTCCAGTCATCCTTAGACAAGCTGCCATCTTTACTCTTTGTAACTGTAATACATTATTAACTATTGGTCAGCCGAGCTAGTTGTTCACTAGAGCAGCGTGTCTGAATCTGCTTTTTGTATGTGTTGTTTTAAGTTTTCTAACCGATCGAATTGTGAAACCTTTAATGGATACTTTAGGATTCCTTGTGAAGAGATTAATAAAGAGCCTCGCACTAAGGACTTTACCGAAAGACGCAGGAAAAGTGGCTCGCTAACATTTCACTAGCAGACGCTTTTACCTCTAAGGATTATTTATTTACCCAGCCGTGCAGTCACAATGCGCAGTTATTACATCCCCATCTTTATTTCATTCATTGTCAGGTATGAGTTTGCGTTTTAAATAAACACTGAATGTTTGACCTGAAAAGAACACAGCCACAGACGCATTGTTTTGTTGAGAATGATAAGTTGATACCAATCCTTACTTACACGGCTCTGTACGATGCAGGATCTGTCCTTCAGGACCTCAACTCTGAGTTCTTAAACCCACAGACGGAAAAGTTGCAGCATCCATGTTTTTCCAAACCTTCATTTGTTTAGCAGTGCAAAATCTTGATTGTAACACTAGCTGTGGGTTCAAATCTAAAGTGAATAAAAAGACAGTCTAGGATCGTGTCTTTAATTCAGACAGAAGACATTTTTTATTGTCGATGGTAGAGGCAGCAAATACAAAGACGTTACAGAATGTAAGTGACATACAGCGGCGGAATGGAGACTTATTAGCATTATTAGCATTTACCGCTGTGCCAGTAGCTTCGACCTTGATATTACCAAAACATGTAGTGGAAAAATGAGTTAGAACGTTCACCACAGTAGCTTCAAAGTGTCATGAAATATCCAAAAAAGCAAAAATATACTCGGAAGAGTCGCATTTTCTTCATATATCAGCAGCAACTCTTGCTGGCCTGACCACCACTCCGTCAACCGGAAGTTTATGCTTCACGTGATTGCAAGCAAGCAATTGCCTTATTTCTCCATACTGATCTCTCTCTGTCTCTATCTGTCTGCTCTACTCCACCATGTGCTTTTTAATTTGTGAAAATGTCGATTGGTTTCAACTAACGCTAGCAAAAACACATGCGTGACATGAAGAACTTGCTTATCAGATGATTGAGGTCGCCCGCTGTAAGTTCTCAATCTCTTCTGTGTCTTTACCAATGCTTTTTAGATATTTGTGAAGTATGTTCATGTCCGACTTGGTTTTCTTTATCGTGTTTTTACCTTTCTGGTCTGTAACGAAGTTGTCAATCTCTTCTTTACTTTTAGGAGTTGTGTTTTCGTTGTTATTTTCTGTTATTACTTCCTCTGGCTCTTTGAACTCGTCCGGATAATAGAATACACGGACCGAGGAAAGATATCTTGCCTCTGAGCTGCAACAGAGCAGTGCTCATCCTGCTGCCTAAGAAGGGTGATCTACAGCTGCTGAAGAACTGGAGGCCGGTGTCGATGCTCTGCACAGACTATAAAATCCTGTCCAAGTTGTTGCCATCACGGCCGCGAGGAGTCATGGCCTTGGTTGTCCACATGGAGCAGACGTACAGTGTGCCCAGCAGGCTCATAGGGGATAACATCACCCTGATCAGAGAAGTTTTGGAGGTCTCCGGCTCATTGGGAATCCACCTGGGACCAGGAAAAGGCGTTTGACCGGGTTGAACACCAGTACCTCTGGCAGAACATGGGTTCAGCCCTGGGTTCATCGCCCACATCCGGACTATGTATTGTGACATCATGAGTGTACTGAAGGTGAAGGGTCTCAGTGCTCCGTTCAGTGGCATCAGGCAGGGCTGCTCTTTGTCAGGGATGCTCTACTCCCTCTCCATCGAGCCCCTTCTGCATCGGCTCAGAGCTGACCTGCAGGGGGCGCTGCTGCCTGGAGCAGTCTCTGCCAACGCAGACGACATCATGGTGTTCATCAACTCTCTGCGGAATATTGAGGTCCTGGCTGACACTGTACAGTGTTTTGGCCAAGTCTCCAGCTCCAAGGTCAACTGGAGCAAGAGCTCAGCCACTCTGTTTCTCCAAACTGGGGGACTAGTGTGGAGAACAGGGGCCCTGGTCATGTCCAGAAGAACTGGGATCAGTCTCTGGAGCAAGTTCAGGAGCGTTTGAGCAAATGGAGGTGGCTGTTCCCCACAATGTCGTACAGAGGGAGGGTCCTCATCACTAACAACCTGGTGTCCTCCGCTCTGTGGCACAGACTGCAGAGCACAGACCCACCTCCCACTTTACTCGCTCAGATCCAGAGACTGATCATAGATTTCTTCTGGGACAAGAAGAAATCTATATGGTTCCACGGGAAGTGCTGTTTCTGCCAAAGGAGGTACTCCGGCCGCCGCAGGAGGGGGCAGCTGCTCAGCTTCCTCATTGGACAAGCTAAACTGGCAGTGTATGTGAGCAGGAGGAGGAAGGCCCAGGACCAGAGTGAGGTCAGTGTGAGGGTTCTGTTGGTCAGGATCGTCCAGGCCAGACTCAGGCGGGAGTTTGGGCTCTAAAGGCTGAATGGGGATCAGGAGGGTTTTAGGGCTTGGGGCAAAATATTAAATTATGTGAATTGAATGTATTGCATTGTTTATTTATTGCACAGTATTGCACATTTGTGGTCTGAAAGGGATGTTATGTTACTAAACAGTTTCTATTACAAGATGTAATGTGAAATGATTGACCTGTTTTAATGGACTCCTACTCTATCCATTCTTTTACTCTCTCCTCGCAGCAATACTCTCATTTCCTCCACTCCTTCCCTCTCTCCTCTCCTCACCTTTGTATTTTCCTCTCCTCTCTCCCATCTTTAGAGTAAAGTAGAGTAGGGCTGGTGGAAACAGGGCTCTTAGACGGCTTGTGATGTGGTGTCATTAGCTTCTGTGACGGCTCTGCTCTGACAGCTCCGGCAGTAAACACGTCTAAAACCCCCACGTCTTGTTTGTTCCGCTCAGTAAATTCCAGGACCGCACTAATCTCTGCTCCGCTCTCCAGACAAATGAACTTCAAGCATGCGCAATTTCACACCTCAAAGACCCACGCCCCATGTGCTTCTGCCCAAACGGAAACATGGATCTCCAGGCGTTACCCGGGAAACGATTCAGAGCACTAACATTATGACATTATTCTGTAAATATGAAAGTGAGAATACTTACTGTTTGCTTTCAACAGTTTTCACATGTGCTCACGCTGCTTCTATTGACGGAAGTGAGCGGGAGAGAAGTCTTTAGGAATTAGTGCGCCTCCTCGTATTATTACGCCTCACAATATAGTACCCGTTTTTATCCGCTGAGAAAATCGACATGTTACATTTCTGTGTTACTATACTTTGTAGTGTAACACGTCACGTAACTGTATTTAAATAGGGAACACGTGGAAGAGTTTGGTAGCTTCTAACGGGAGCTAATTTTGTTGCTATACAGTGTGGAAGAGGCTGCGTTTGTGCTCCGTTTGTATGACAGAGCACACGGACAAAGATCACACAGGTACATATCAACTAGTCTAAGGTAAGGTAAGAACATGTCAGTATGTAAAAACGGTGGCCTGTTCCTTTAAATCAGCTTTTTCGTGTCTCTCTCCGGTCCTTCTCTAGTCTCCTTCTGGTCCTTCTCTAGTCTTTCTCTGGTTTCGCTTGTCTCTTGGTTTCTCTCCTGTCACTCTCTCTGGCCTCACTCCTTCACTGTATCCAACAGATCAGAGAGTGGATGCAATACAACTTCCTTCAGCTAAATGCAGATAAAAACTTAAATTATTGTCCTTGGTCCCCAGAAACAAAGAGAGAGTGTCATCTGTCACCTACAGTCTCTCTCCCTAAAACCTTTAAAAAAGGTCAGAAATCTGGGCGTAATAATGGACTCTGACTTAAATTTCAATAGCCACATTGGATCGGTAACATCGGCAGCTTTTTACCATCTGAAAAATATTGCCTGACTAGAACCAGGAAGTACGACCACATTAGTCCTGACTAGAACCAGGAAGTACGACCACATTAGTCCAGTCCTCAGGTCTCTGCATTGGCTTCCTGTGGCTCAGAGAATAGACTTTAAAACAGCTTTGCTTGTGTACAAGTCTCTCCATGGCCTCGCACCAAAATATATTAGTGACATGTTAGTCCCATATGAACCAGCCCGGACTCTGAGGAGCACAGGGACTGGACTCCTGTTAGTGCCCAGAGTCAGAACTAAACATGGGGAGGCTGCTTTTCAGATTCATGCAGCTACGGTCTGGAACAGTCTTCCTGAGGATGTGAGACAGGCCTCCTCTCTGGCGATGTTCAAATCCAGGTTAAAGACTTTTCTTTTTGCCTGTGCAAACAACAACATTTTTATCTTTTTAACGCACCTTGTTATTTTTTTACTATTCTAACCCTTTGTGTGATTTTAATGGTTTTTAGTTACCTGTGTGATTTTAATGTTTTAATGGTGATGATTTGTGCCTTGTGTGGACTGTGAGGCGCTTTGTGTCGCCCTGTGTAGGAAAAGCACTCCATAAATATAGATTGATTGATCTCTCTGGTCTTTTTCAGGTCTCTTTCTGGTCTCTCACTTGCATGTGTTTTTGGCCTCTGTCACATCTTTTGATCTACTTTTTAATACTGAAAAGTGTAAATGAGGACCACCCTCATTCAGCCAATCTACTCTCAGCCCAAAGAGTCAATTTGTGACTCCCAGAGCTTTCTTACACAAAAAGATCAAATGTCCAAATTGAGGAAAAAAAAATACTTATGATAAAAGGCTATTAAAAAAACAAACACATGATACTAGTTTGGTCCATAAAGGGAATATTAGGAGTGGACTGACCGAGTGTGACATCCCCATAGTGTTAGCCTAGTTGAACATAAGCTAGCTGGAGCCAAATTCCTTATATGGGCAAATTGTTCCAACTGTGTAAGAAGGTGCTGGGTTCGAATCCCGGTCGGAACAGGACGTCTCGCTTCTGTCATCCCCGTGTGGAGAGAATGGAAAAATATCTTAACTCTGAACATTGCAAAGCGCTTTGGGGGACCTCGGCCTGTAATCATGCACTATATTAAGAATGATTACTTAGTTACTATTACAATGTATACACAAAGATCATAGAGAACGCTAAAGAAGGGAAGAAGTCCAATATTGTGAGTGTGACACAAACGGTTAGTGAGCTAGAGGAGTTTGCTTTTTCATCTAAGTCAATACGAGCCAGAGCAAGTTGGAACAAAACTTCATTCATGAGCACTTCCCTATTGAGCTTAATTTAGCTAGCTGGTTGAATGGGGCTAAAACTACTTCAGGTCTGCTTTGGATGAGGAAGAATACTAGTAACCATGGATCTATAATAATAACAGGATAGGGTATTACTAGCTTACAGCTGTCCCACCTATGGCCACAGGGGGCGCTGTGGTACTGCAGACTGAATTCACGTGGGCTACTCAGAAAAAAGTCCCATAGAACTCAATGTAAATTAAAACAGCGCGACCTCAGCTGACAGAGAACCTGACAGAGAACCTACAGCTTTCATAAAGATCGTATTTTGTGGGGATTTTAGTGTCCCTTGTCATCCTGAAGCATCCTAAAGCTCGTGTGTAAGCATTCGATCCTGGTAAGTAGCATAAGCTGCGTGCACCTCTATCGTCATCTAAAACCACAAGAAAATAAATGCATTGCTTTTTTGTCACATGAAAAAATCTTTAAATTACTTTCTAAATGTCTGAAATTGGTGATTTTTGTAGCGATTAAAACAATCGATGGGCTGGAAAAAAGAGACAGATCACGCTCGCAACAGGTTATCTAATAGGAGAGCGTGATTTCATGCCCACTTTTTTGAGAAGACTACCCACAATGCCGTGCGGTCGAGCCGGAAGCTCGGAACTCTGGATCCCTGTATTCATTTGAATAGGACGCCATCTTGGATCACCGGGGCTCGTGTGTAACCCACGTCATAGAACAGTCACTTCCTTTAAAATTCCTTTAGCCATAGCAGCAATAATTTACGGATTTTTAAAAGTTCAAGGTGACTTTCATAAAAATATAAATCACATTTACACAAATAACATTAGAAACAAAACAGATAAGAAAATAAAGTGGTCAAAAGCCACTGCGATCTCCCACAGTGTGTACTCAAGTGGGGCGTCTGTCCCGATGAACACTAGTTTTATTTTTACTGGGTCCTTCTTTTCTAAGATATTCTTTACTTATTTATAACAACAAACTTGTTTTTAGGTAGGCTTGATCGATAGAAGTCTTGGGCCTTTTTTAACATTATTTGTGTCACCTGTGGCTCTGTCGGGCGCTACTTCCTGGTTCTACTCGCATGTAAACAATCTCATGATCTGTATATTATTACAATTCTGGATCAATCTTATGATTCTACCGATTATTTATGGATTCAGTAATGTCAGAGTGTTCCCCCTAACATTGTAACCGACCCCTAGTTCCCTGCGTTATTTAGAAATGTATTTTGTAGACTCCCGGTGTCCCACGGTCCGTGTATTTTTCGTTCAATGGTTTTTTCAAATTAAAATCAAGAATGAAATATCTTGAAATGGCTTGATTTTTCATTTTGATGAGGAAAAGGAAAAAAAAAAAATTTGCTTGATCACAATCAGAATCATTTTTATTGCTTGCTTGCAATAGGAGGATCTTTGTTTACACCTGCGTGCGCCCTTGGCACAGGTGGCAGAAAGACAGAGTTGCCCATAAGCGAACTATTTAGCATCCAGGTAGCTTTCAATGCTATAGTGCCACACAGACATGTGACCGGCGCGGAAAAACTATAAACGACGTCACTCCAAGATCCTCCTAATCACGTCCGCCTCATTACATATGCGTATCACAAAGCGGTGGTCAGCAGAGCTAGTTGTTCACTAGAGCAGCGTGTTGAATATGCCTTTTGCATGTGTTGTTTTAGTTTGTTCTAAGCGATCGAATCGCGAAACCTTTCATGGATACTTCAGGGTTCCTCGTGAAGAGATTAATAAAGAGATTTAACGCATTCTCCAACTGGTAAAACCAGCGGGCAAGTCACCAGCGCCACCATGAATAAGAAAAGAGCCAGATATGCAACACTGGTTGAAAACCAGCACGAAAGCTTTGTGACCCGGATCCGTGATCTACAACAGAAAAGGCCACAGATTACGTTCTTATTTGTATGACGTGGGTCTTTGCAGTAACTCAGTTAAAAAAAAGGTCCCCTCCCTCCCCTGCTTCTGCTGGAACTGCCTCCCAGAGCAGGTGTGTGGGAGAGGCTGATCAGGCCCAGCTGGCTCAGGTCTACAATCAGGCCTCTAAAAGAGCTCCAGAAGCCGGCTCATCGGTGCCAGTTCATAATCTGTGTCACAGTACATTAAGTGGGCCTTTCGTAATCGTTCTTGTTACCTTTGTACTTAGTTTTTTTAGTTCTGCCTCAGACCTCTGTTCCACACCTCCTGCTCCCAGCCCAGCACCACCTTTCCCAGCTCGCCTGGGTTTTGAGTTTTCATATTTTTGTTCATTAAACTTTTTGTTACCCCTACATTTGGGTTCCTTGTCCGACTCGTAAC